AGGTACGTGCGGCGGGGCGCGCGGTGTCCGCCTCTCACTACATGCAGGTGGGCAAACACATGCGTGTATGTGTGAACGCACATGGATGCATGACTGCCAATATATATGACTGCAAATGGACGCCCGCCTCTATTTATGCAAATGTTTGCATGATTGCCAATATATGCACGGCTGCAAATGAACGCCCGCCTCTATTGTACGCATGACTGCCAATACTTGGATGCTTGTATGTACGCAAATGAATGCAGGATGTCGATAGATGCATGGATGCCAATGAAGGCCGCCCAGTCGGTCTAATAAAAGGTATCATCTCTGAGCCAGGAGTTCTGGGTTTTTGCCATTCATGCCAATGTATGCACGAATGCAAATGAATGCATGACGGCCAATATATGCGTGAGGCAAATCAGTGCATGCTCGGATGTATGCAAATGTGTGCGTGAATGCCAAGATAGGCATGCCTGGATGCCAGTGCATGCACGACTGTCAATATACGCATGCCTGTGTGAGTGCCAGTACATTATATGCATTTATGTGCACGACCACACGCGAGGCCCGACCCCTACTCAACTCTCCCCTCAACGAGCGCAGAGCCGGTGACAGGAACCGACTGACATCATCTCCAGCCCCGCCCCTAACGTGCGTGCGTGCGACGGCGTCGCTGATTGGCTCCGCTGCCTCTATGCCAGAGGGGCGCGGCGTTCCCCCGAGGGGCGGAGCCTGAGGGTGCCGCAGCCAATGGCGAGGCGGCGCGGAAGCGTCGCGAGACGCGCGGAGGGAGTCGGGCCGGGCACGGTGGCGGCGGCCGCCATTTTGCGCTGGCGGGGTCCGGCTGGCGGGAGGAGGATGTTGCGGCTGCGCTGCAAGGCCCGGAGCGGTACCCACCCGCTGCCCGGCCTCACGGTGCACTCCCGCCTGCGGGAGCTGCAGGCTGCGCTGGCCAACCTCACCGGCGTGCCCGCCGTGGCGCAGCGCCTGCTGCTCGGCTTCCCCCCGCGCGGCCTGGACCTCAGCGACGGCGAGCGGCGGCTGGGCGAGCTCGGCATCCACTCGGGTGGGTCAGGGGGACACCCCCCCCTTTTCCCTCTAGTCTTTCAGGCGGGGTCAAACGAGGGGTACGTGGGGGAAGCTGCAGGCAGCCACTGGTTCAACGACCATGATACAGGGAAAAGGAGGGTGGAAAAGCACCCCCTGAAATCGCCCGTCACGATGTGACTAACGCCACTTCCAGACCAGCCACTCCCAGACCTGTTGATCCGGCCCCTGGGTGTAAACAAGCCGTGCAGCGACGGGCCGGGCTTCTCCCTTCATTCGCTTCCTTTTTAAATTGGCAGGGACCCACCCCCCCGGCTCTTTGTTGTTGCTGCTTTTTGACTCCTAAAAAAAAAAAAAAAAAAATGCAGTTTTTTTGTAGCGGAGGTCTCCACTCAACCCTCATAGGGAGCAGTTTTTCAAGGTGCAAGTTTCCCCTTCAGGAAACGCTTGGATGCTTACCTTGCTGGGATCCTTTGACCCCAACCGACTTCCTGCCCCCGGGGCAGGGGCTGGATCCAGCGATGATTCTACAAGGTCTCTTCCAGCCCTATGAAATCTGTGACCCCATACCTGAAATCTCCAGGTTTATTTTCTGAATAATGTTCGCATGCTGAACGGTGCTGACATTACTCCCACCCTTGGGAGGCGATATCACGGCCCCCTTCAGTGAGAACCGCTGTGATAGTCTTTCACTGTTCTCACCAATTCACAGAAGGGACCTTGTGCGGTCATTCGATTCAGGCCCCCTGCTTTGGGCAGGAAAGACATCTCAGAAGATTCAGAAATGAACCTTCTCTCACGGTCCCTATTGGGATGGTTGGGCTGAAACGCAATACAGTGCTTTTAAGTGTGAAATTAGCGCACGTCCCTGAGCGTGAACTTCAATGAACTGTATCCAGTTTGGTCCCAAAGCTTCGGAGGTTCTATTCCGCTTAACGAATGAGTCTTGGTTATAAGCGATTGTTTAACGGTTTCTTTTTTGCAAAAACTGAAGGGCAGGGGATGTAGTAATAGCTTACATCAGGCCATAAATTTCTGTGCACTGAAAGTTGTTGTGTTTGGAGCTTTCTCTTTTCTAGCTAAAGACTAGATATGACCTACGTATTCCTCACAGATTTTTTTGATGCTTTGTTTTACAGGTGACACTCTAATAGTTGAAGAGGACACCACAAAACCCACGACTGAGTCGCCCATAATTGCGAAAAGGAGCGTGCCTAATTCCGTCAGGGAAACACTGCCTGTGCTTGCAAGGAGGGTCGTTCCAGCAGATAACTCCTGTCTCTTTACAAGTGTATACTATGTGGTAGAGGGAGGTATTTATGATCCAGCTTGTGCCCCAGAGATGCGCAGTCTTATAGCCCAGATAGTAGCAAGTGATCCAGAGTCCTATTGTGAGGCAGTACTAGGGAAAACCAACCATGAGTATTGCGAGTGGATCAAAAGAGAAGACACGTGGGGGGGAGCCATTGAAATATCCATTTTGTCTAAGTTTTATCAATGTGAAATCTGCGTAGTGGACACGCAGACAGTCCGGATTGACCGCTTTGGGGAAGACGCAGGGTACCCAAAGCGGGTCCTTCTCATTTACGATGGCATTCACTATGACCCGCTTGAGCGCAAGTTGCCCAACTCAGACGTGCCTCCCCTGACCATTTTCTCAACAACTGATGACGTTGTTCTTGCACAAGCATTGGAGCTAGCAGATGAAGCAAGGCGAAAGAGGCAGTTTACTGATGTGAATCGCTTTACCCTGAGGTGTATGGTGTGCCAGAAGGGGTTAACTGGACAAGCAGAAGCCAGAGACCACGCCAAGGAGACTGGGCACACCAATTTTGGAGAAGTGTGATATCTTCATGAGGACAGTTGTGTCTACTACCTCACCAACCCGGAATAAGATTCTGGGTTTTCAGATAAAGCTGTATGTAAGCATAAAAATTCCGTTCGCAAAGCTTGAAAAGCCTAGTTAACTTTATGGTGGCCAAGGCGCACAGGTCCATTCTGGTTGGCGTGCAAGTTTACAGATATGTGTGTGGTAGTGACTTCTCCCAGCTGGTTTGAAGTAGATAATTTCTTGCATGCTGATTTGAAGTAACCTGGCAGGCGTGTGGTGTATGCTGGTGGCTAGAATCCCTGACTTCTGAAAGAGCCTTATTCCTAAATCTTCCATGCAACATGACCGGATTTACACCCGGAACAATAGTTGCCCGTAGAATTAGTAACACTGGACTAAAATCTCTCAAATCCCATTTTCAAGATAGTTAAACTGGTTTTAAAATTTGGCAACTTCATGTGCATGTATATCTGTGCTACTTTCCAAGAGTTTTATATAATAGCTCGTACGCACGTAGGCAGCTCTTGCAGAAAGAGATGCCTGTTGGATGAGTAACTCCAAAGCTGCCCTTTCTTAGGATATTAATGACAGAAGTAGAATGTATAGTTTGAAGTCATGGTGGTAGTGAGAGGAGTGGCCTCTGAGCTTTAAGATAGACTTCTTAAAATTAATGAATAGACAGTTAAATACCCACAAACTTAATCCTTCATAAGTACCACTTGAAGTGTAGCTTCTAGTTGCTTGAAAATTAACTATCCCTCCCTTTGTGTTTACACTGCATCAGGATGTTGGCATGTTTTCTGAACTACATGGATCCTTGTTAACAACATGATCTTAATTCCAACAAGGAGTGACACTAGCTAAAATCTAGTTTTAATGCATTTAATAGATTTGAGTCTGGTATTCCTCAGATGTGTCCACTTTTGTGGCCAAAGAATAATTATAAACTATACCAGGCTCTAAATACTCGTAAGTTAGCACTTTTTAATCTTTGGTTCTCGTTCTTTTACAGATCAGCTATCTAGTTTGAGAAGGACTGAGCATTTACCCAAAAGGGAAATAACTTGAAGTGTCTTTGGTGTCTGTATTCTACCAGATACCTCTTAACTTGCTTGAATTCCCACCAATGACTCTCTTCAGTAGCAAGACCTCAATTTAAATAAGGAATGGAGCCTTTTTAATTTTTAACAGTAAAATAAGCTAGGTAGAATGCTCAACTTCTGACCCTATTTAAAAAAAAAAAAGTCAGGGATGTTTGAAATCACTATAACAAAGAAATTTTACCTCATACATGGAGTGTGAGGCTTGAAGTGCATTGAGATTTTTCTAAATGGTGCTGTAGAGGTGCGTATTACTGAAAGTCATCTTTTGTTAAAAGAATGCCTGTAACACACTTGTGTTAGAGAAATTAACAATATTCTGACCCCTGCTGGTTTTCTGTTACTGTGTTGTAGGATACCTTCTGTGCAGTTTTATATATGGGAGGCAAGGAGGTCCATCTTGAAAATGAAGTAGAAATAAGTCTACTGTAGGGAATGGAAGTTTAATTTACCTTCTGTAAAGAACCTTCCAGGTTCCTAAGAGAGGTCATATACAAAGCCCTGATGCAGCGAAGACTCCTTATTTCATAAAGCATGTGCTAAAATGATTCCCTGGTTTGAGACCTACTTGCAGAAGTTTGAACAGAAGGGTAATCCTGTTGACACTAGTGGAACTAATAAAACACATTTAAGCATGTGCTTAAGTGCTTCATTGGATTGAGGCCTGAATAATTAAATCACTTAAGAGTATTATGGACCAGGATTCCTTTAACTCAGTATTAAAATAAAGTAATTATGGCACTGGCATGAGTTGGCTATAGATATTAAGTTAATGTCTGTTAAGGCCCAAATTGCTTTTAGAAACTTTTTAAAACCTTTTTAAATGCTTGACTGAAAGCAAATAATTATGTATAGAAGCATAAATGACTGGGTCAAAGAAATGAAGGATATGGTGTGTACATCCTGGGAGATGAAATGTGGACTAGCAGTTGGACCAAGAGACAGTCAGTCTAACTCACATGATGCTAACTCTCACCTGAATGGGTGAGAGAGACCTTGGACAAAATCACTACACCTCAGCCTCTCTTTACCCATCTGTAAAGTGGGTATGATGTCTACCTCACAGAGGTGTTTTGAGGCTAACTGGTGTTTGTAAAGTCCTTGGATGAAAGGTGCTAGAGAAGTGTAGAGTAGTTATTTCTGATGTGCCATGTTTGCAAACCTGCTGTAGGCTTTTCGGAACATGACTCTTATCCTGAAAAATCAGTTAACTTTCTGGTATAGAATTTGCAAAACACAAGACTTAATGTATCTGCATACGTTTGCTGGGCGAATTGGATTTCAAAGCCTATGTGTGGATTTCTAAAAGTGGATAGCAAGGCTAAGTGTGTTTATTTGCCCTGTTACAATTTTAAAAGCCTGTTTCACATATTTATTTTGGTACATCATGTTTGCATTAAGGTTCTACTACACTTTTAATGCCAAGTATCAGATTAATTGAGGGAGAGTAGTTGCACATTGAAGAAACTATATTTATTTGCCTAGAAAATTGCATTGTTTTGGATCTGAGATCCCAAATAAACTGCTGTAGTCATTGTCCTGTTAACAAAAGTCATAGTTTCTAGGGTCGGAAGGGACCTGACCAGATCATCTAGTCCGACCCCCTGCCATGGCAGGAAGAGCACCGGGGTCAAATGACCCCAGTAAGGTGGTCATCCAACCTCCTCTTAAAAACCCCCAGGGTGGGAGCCTGCACCACCTCACTTGGAAGCTGGTTCCAGACCCTAGCCGCCCTGACCGTGAAGTAGCGCCTCCTGATGTCCAACTTAAACCTTCCCTCCGCCAGCTTGTGACCGTTGTTCCTGGTCACTCCTTGCGGTGCTCGGGGGAACAGGGCCTCCCCCAGCGCCTGCTGATTCCCCCTAACCAGTTTATAACAGGCCACAAGATCCCCCCTCAGCCTTCTCTTCTGAAGGCTGAACAGGTTCAGGTCCCGCAACCTTTCCTCATAGGACCTACCCTGCTGCCCCTTGATCATACGAGTGGCCCTCCTCTGGACCCTCTCCATGCTGTCCACAACCCTCTTAAAGTGCGGCGCCCAGAGCTGGACGCAGTACTCCATTTGTTACAAAAACAAATATTTAATGTAACTTTTCAAAGAGCAAAATAACCTATGGAACTGAACTGAAGAAATTAAAATTAAGTCATCTGAACTCCTTCCCTATCCCCAGGTAAAGAAGAAAAAAATCAAACTTTCTAGAAACTTAAATGTATAAATCTCATGTGAAAACCCAACTAAACTTGTTTGTATTCCTTCTGGAAGAGCTTGGTAATTGTGTTAGCTTTGTCATGTCTGATTTATTACTAGCATTTATGTGCCCTTTGTTAACAATAGAGACATGGTAATATTGCACACGACTGATTTCCTTGCTCTCGGTGGGAAGAACCTGCATCTCTGAGTAGCTGTATTAATACATTGCACTGAAGCATGTCCTGTAGCTGCAAGATGCTAGTTACTGATATTTTGTTCAACATTTATTTGTCTGGTACATAGTTGAGACGTAAGCTCAGGTAACTGGCATTAAAACAAAGTCTGTCACCTGTGCATAGTGATCCAAAAAAATACTGTTAGACATGGACTGATGTTCTTACTGCTCCCCTTCTCCCCTGCCCCCCCCCCCC